TTTGCCTCTTTTTTTAGGCATAAAGCATGAATGCCAAGCAAATGGGCCAGAGGACCTGAACCGAGCTTGCATTGCTGAGAAGCTAGGAGGCTCCCTAGTCGTAGCTTTTGAAGGAAGTCCCGTGTAGATGTCATACAGTGCCACAACTCTACGAGCATTCCATGTTTTAATAGATCAGTTATATAAAGCAAACATTCTAGGCAAGGGTTTCACTAACAGTAGGGAAGCTGTCATGTAGAATAAAGTAGATTTTGGAGATGTAGCTTGTATGTAAAAATGACCCTAAATAAATCAAATTAAGGATTTATCTTGGTGTATTAATATTTGCATTGGTTGTCCAGCCCAGTACTGTCCCCAATGGATTAACACTAAAGGTCTCTAAAAATTGGAGCAGTGTATCATGAAAGGTGGAGAGGTGAGAATAATCTGGTTCCTGTTCTTGCTTTTCCAAATAGTAAAAAGTGAAATTCAAAAACTTTCCCTTTAACCATTTAAGACAAAACGTACAACCTGTAGTTTAACTTCAGCTGAAGCAACCTGTGAGCACCAAACTGGGTTAAATTCTTAGTGCTTGCAGTTGCAGAGCTGTACTAAAAAAGCCTAATTATGAAGCTAGACATAAAACAGACACACTTTTTCTGGAGAAGTAGTCCTAATCCACTCTTGTAAACTCACAGTGCAGTAATAATATTTAAAGGTTCACTTGTTCTGTAGGTTCAATTTTCTTGTTATGAAGTGTCTTGAGGTCTCTTTCCTCCTGAATGATTCTATAGAAATTGCTTTTTCTGTTGACACAGTTTAATTTAGAACTACCTTTCTCTAATATACACTTATTAGTGGATCAGATGCTTCTGAGGCTTTTATAAATGCAGATTCTTATATCAGAGCTCTCCAGTTATGGGTAATAAAATGAAAAGGAACCACAACTTTAAAAATTGTATTTTCAGCCCCAGTCTTTGGTCACTTGGTCCATTTGTCCATAATTACTATTGATTTAACTTAGTAGAACCAATCAGCCTGACTAATATGGCTTGATCTGGGCTTTTTGTCTGTTAGCTTCTTTAATTCTGTAGAAATGCATGGAAATATCACCTACTAGAAAGTTTGACCTGAAATGCCTTTTGTATGGGGGGTAGAGAACATTCCTGTGCCAGCTACAGAGATCTTAAAAGCTTCCATGTTTCATCAGTGGTTGATTAAAGCTGTTTCTTTTGTGTAATGTGTACATGGGAGTTGCATAGAGTTTTCTTGTATGTCTGTAGAGAAAAAGAAAAAAAAAACCAAAACCCTTAGCCTCCAGTGCATTACTGTGATATGTTCTGTGCGTGCCAAATTTGAACAGCCTAAATAAATGGGCTTTCCCTCCCCTGGGTCAGTGACTGATTGCTCTCCAGCCTCGGGATCAGCCCTCCTGCAGGGAGCTGGCTCTGCTGGATCTGGGTAAGCACTTAGGGAGCTGCTGTGCCTTCTGCAGAGGCTGCCTGCCCTGCTCTGGGAGCTGGAGTGGGGCAAACAGGCTGGAAGGAGTAGCTGGTGAAGCTGGAGGGATCTGGGGGAAACAGCTTTGTCTCTGCTGTGTGTTCCCCTCTTTGGCTCTGCACCCCCTGCTTGCTGTAGGCTCCCAGACCTCTCTCTGCCTTCAGGCTTTGGGCCCAAGTTCCCGCTGGCTGGGCCGTCCTGGGAGCCATTCCCTGTTGGCAGTGTGAGCCCAGGAGCCCAGCCATGCATTGGGTGTTATGCCCCTGCCTGCCCTGTGGGGACTGAGGGAGCCAGGGCAGTCACAGGATGGTCCCTCCTCCCTGAGCTGTTCCAGCTGTGCAGGGACAGCTGTGGTGTCCCCTCAGCTCCTGGCAGGGCAGTGCCAGCTGTGCTGGGGGCCAGGGCAGCAGTGGGCCATTGCCTGACTCAGCATGTGCCCTCTCTGGCCAGGCTGGGCAGGTAAAACCCTTCATTAAAGACAGGCATTGACTGACTGCTCTGGCTTGGCACCCACACGGTCACAGGGCTGGGAGCACAAGGTTCTCCACTGGAGTGCAGCTTCCTGATTCCGAGCACAGCAAACTGGCCTGGATTCTGCTGGGGCTTCCAGCCTGTCTTCCAGTCAACTGGGGCCTCACCCAAGTGTGTAATGATCCCCATAAACAGCTCCTCCTTGCCCAGGTGTCTGCAGTTCTGATCCCTGTCCAAAGTCCACCTGGAGATAAGGAAAGCACTGTGACACACTGGGAGTGGTGCTGCCTCACAAACAGGCACCTCCTAGCCAAGATCCAGCTGATAGCTGGTGCCTCCAGGCTGCAGGCATCTTTATCTAGCCCAGGTGATGCTGTGGACACTTCTGCCTGGGATTTCCTTCCTTGGTCACAAAATGGAGCAGGAGGCACTGCAAAACAGGAAGGATGTCAGACCTGTAAGGTAGGAGAGCATTTCCCACAATGTCAAAGTCCTTGGATCAGGGACTTGGGTTCAAAGTACCTTAGTCCCAGAAGTGAGTGATAAGAGGTGACACTTTGGGCCTTGGCTGGGTGTGGTGCTATTGCTTCAGCCCACTGGAGAGCTTTTAGGGCCCTCACAAGAAGTGCCAAAGTGATCCTTGTGCTCCAGAACTAACAGTAACTTAATACTCAGAGCCACAGTGCTGTGGGCTTGTCCACATCGTGGGGTTTGTGGCCAAACTTCCCCTCTCAGGGTTATTCTGGCTTTTGAGGGGATGAAACTCTTGTGACTGTTTTTAAGATTTCTCCCAAATCACCCAGACCTTCTGAAAAGGCAAGACAAGAAGGGAGAAACAACATTAATGCTTCCTATAACTTGGCTGGTTGCTGGTGGGAGAAATCACTTCCTAACAGGGGCACATGAAGGAAAAGGTGAAGGAGTTGAGCTGAGGGAGGCAGCTCAGTCACACTTGCTGAGGTAGTGTGAACATTTTGAAGTACCCATGCAGGCTTCCCAAAAGCCATTTTTGGTCATTTGGCCTGTGGAGGAAATGGAGACTCTTAATTCAAGCCTAAGTGTAAACAGCAGGCAGTGTAAATGTAATTTACAAGGAGGGTTAAATTGAGTCTCTTCAACTGTGCCTTGATAAGCCCAGGTACCCAGGCTGAAAGGGAATTCCAGGCATGGCTGAATCAGCAGAAGGATCCAGTGTTCTCATTCCAAGTCACTCCAGCTGAGCAGCTTGTTGATCTTTATCAATGAAGGTACCTGCCTGCAGTGCTGGGGCTGCTCTGAGTCATGGGCTGACAAGCACCAAGCCTGGGTGGCTCTCCTGGAGGAAAGGAGGTGACTCTGGGTGGGCACATGGCAAAATCCCAAATCCCACCAGCTGTGGGGAAAGAGGGGCAGGCCAGGCCTCAGCTGCCTGTGCTCTTGGGCAAGGTGTGGCTTTCTCTGGCCCTCAGGATGTCCTTCCCCTTCCATCAAGGTGCCAGGGGGATTAAAACATGGCAACAGTACCATTCCAGGTGTGAAAAACTGATGAATGTCTTTCTCCAAAAAGAGTTCTTTTATTTCAGCTTTGCTTCAGAACAGTCCTCCTCTCTGTGTTGCTAAAACAGGCAGCTGGGTGTTGTGTGCCAGTAGGGCATGGTGTGCCCTGGGGCTGGGGACATGGGACAGCCCCCACTGCAACCAGCCTGCCCTGGCTGTGCTGCTGAGGGAGGCCTGGGTCTCTGCTCTCTGTGCACTGCAGCTCACAAGAAAGGAAAGAGTTGTTGCAAAAGCCAAAAACTGCAAAACCAAAGGAACTGCGTCACTTCCCAGCACCTGCAGCTGCAGAGCCCTTCCTGCCCTGGTTGCTGGGGGTGAGAGCCACCCTGCCATGCTCCACAGCTCCCTCCTGCCCGGGGCTTGGGTGGGGGTTTGGTGCAATCCTGACACAATGCAGGCATTCCCTCGGTTTTGGGGAGCTTCCATCCAACAGGTCAGGGCTGCTGGGCTGGGGGAAGTGACAGTGCTGGCAGGCTGAGGTCACCAGTGGCCTCAATTTGTGTGTTCCTCCACATGTGCCACAAAGTCCAGGAAGATAAACCACAGGCCAACCCTGGCTGTGGGGCAAAGGTCTGCTTCCTTTGTCCCTCCAGGATGGGGAGAGCAGCTCCCTCTGCCACCTGTGCTGGGACAGGGAGTGGGGACACACACAGGGGAGGGGGCAGGGGTGGCTCTCAGCTCCCCATTTCCTTGGCCCTTGTTCTCACCTGGGCCCAAGTCACACACAGCCCTGCCCCAGCTTTCATCACAGCCCCAAAAGGCACTGTGCTGAGGGAGGGACAGCATGTCCCAGCCCTGTGGAGTCTCAGGGTGTGGTACAGGGGTTGGTCACACACTGGCCTTCCCCAGGAACAAAATGGAAGCAGCTCTGCCCCTCATCCTCCTTCCTGGCCTTGGCTCTCTGCAGGCAGAGGGGCCTTTTTCCTCCTCCCTCTCTCAAAGCCTGCTGATGTCAGCACTGGGCTCAGCAGCTTTATTGTGGGGAGACAGCACCACGCTGTCACGTGGCCTCTGCCATTTCCTAAGAAACCAGCTTGAAAATTAAAAAGAAAGGGAAAAAAAAGAATAATAAAAGAACAATTAAAAAAAGTGAAAAAAAAGTAAAAAGGAAAGCAACAAGAAGGGAGAGCAGAGGACTAGAGCCTGACAGTAACCAAGGGCCACCACCACCACACAGGGACAGACTACAGGGGAGCACTAAGGTTTAAAGCAAGGAGGAATGGTCCTGTCCCCACCATGCCCCTACTGCCATGGCAAAAGTGTCAATCCCTCTGCCAAACCCCACACAGGGAGGCCAGCCCTGCACCAGCAGTGGGAAAACACAGAGGGAATGAAGTTTCTCTCCTTGTAGTGAATAAAAACCAGGGGATGGCTTCTGTGACACAGCTCCTGGCCAAAGCAAAGTCCTTCTTCAGGGACCCCAAAGCCCTACCTGGCTTGCAAACTTAAAAAAACACAACACAACAAACTTAAAAAAACCCAACACAAACAAGAAAAATAAAGCAAGGACAAGCTCTCTTTGCTACGTCGTTTTAATTGCATCGACACCCAGAAATCCACGTGCCAAGAGCCACCCAGCCAAGAGGCATCCTTCCATGGTGGGTCTTACTTTCACACTCCTTTCACTCAAAACAAAAAAAATAAAAGAAAATAAAAGAAAAAAAAAGAAAAAATATATATAATTATAATTGCACTGGTTGACATACAAGCACAGTCTCTTCCCTTTTCACACACTGCTGGGTTCTGCTGGAACAGGAGGCTGAAGCCCCAGTGTGGCCACAGCAGCTCCCCAGGAAATGAAGAGTTGTACAAAAGAGTATGAAGATTTTTTTTACAAACTGCAGTGTTTACTGGTTGGTTTTTTGGAATTTTTTTTGGTATGTTTTCTTGTAAGTTTCAAAACTAGGTTTTGGGTCACTAATGGCTTTTATCGTTTATCTACAGTAAATTTAGCATAAATTTTTATTTTTAGGAATGTGTAAGGCATTTTGGTAAGTTAACTGTAAGGTCCAGGGTGAAGACTCATCAAACTGAAGTCCCTTCCTTTGAACTGTCCTCTTGCCCCTGGAGAACAAGAAAAAGAAGTGGGTTACTCAGCTGGCCTCACCCTTATTCTCATGGCAGCTCAAGGCCCAAAGCATTTCACAGATGGGCCAGGACCTTGACCAGCACTTCCTGTGGTCTCAGCCTTTCCCAAAAGCCACCCAAAAATGGTTTCTGGCAGCAAGGACCACCTTGCCTCCACTCTTAAACCCCTGCCTGCTGCACACTGCCCCAGGGCCTCCACCAGCACCAGGGGGAGGGACATGGCCACCACCAGTACCATTTCCTGAAGCTGTTCTTTCAACTTCTTCACCATTTCTCTCTCTTTGGCCAGTTGGTCCTGGGAAACCTTCAGTAGCTCCTGTAGTTTGGTTGCTGCCTGGCCCAGGTCCTTTGTTAATTTTTTCTCTTTTTCAAGTCTTTCCTACATGGCAGTCAAAAGAAGGCACCTGCCTGAGCCTTCCTTTGCCACCTGGTGACCTTCCCCCCTTCAAAACACCTCAGGCCACCTCAGGTCTGCATCAAGCTGTCTCAGTGACCACAGGCCAGGGGAACACCCAGTTCCCACCTCAGCAGGGAGAACGGACAGACAGACAGCTCTCTGTGGCTGCCTGGAGATGCCATGGGCCAGCACTGGATAGTTTCCCAGTGTGTGAGAAGCCCAGCCTGTGAGTGTTTGTTCAGGGCACCACACTGATGTCACCTGCAGGGATGAGTGGTCCTGCTGTCCTTCAGCCACCCTGGAGCTCTCAGCCCTCTCCTGCAGGGTGACCATGGGATGGGCCTCACTCCCCAGAGCTCAGAAATGATCAATCATGCCCATAGTCCTGCTCATGTGTGTCTTCTGCTGTGGTGGCACAGCCAACTCACCTTGAGATGCTGAGCCTCCTCCTTGTCTGAAGCTGCTGCGTGTTCAGCCAGCCTCAGCTTCTCCAGCTCTGCTTGCAAGCTGCGTGCCAAGCTCTGGGCCTGCAAAGGAACACACTCAGTGAGCACAGAGGCCAACAGTGGCAGCATCTCCCACACACCCAGCTCCAGCCACCCTGAGTGCCCTGCTGAGGAACTGCAGACACACAAGGCATTGCTTCCAGCAGGGAGATGGCATTTCTCACTTGGAGCAGCAGGAAAGCCAGCTCAAGCCCATAACCCTCCAAGGAAAAAGCTGGCACAAGACGTGGGGGGGGTTGGGAGAGCTGAATTTGAGGGGCCAGTGATGCCACATGGCTTTAGCACAGCTGCTGTAAGAAGTCCTTGAGACGTGGGAGGGAACGTCTCACAGGGATGGCTGAGGTGTGGACAGTGATGGGGAAAAGCCTTCAGATTAATTCTTCAAATTAATTCTTGGGTTTCATTAGCAGCCAAGAATGCAGGAAAGGAAGGCTCTGCACACCCTGGTATCCTCTCACCCACACCCACCTCCTCCAGCTCCCGTGCCAGCTTTTGCCGCAGCGTTTGCTCCTTCTCCGCCAGCGCTTCGTTCTGCTCCAGCTGGGTTTTCAACTGTGTTGAGGAGAGGGGAAAACACCCAGAAACAGCATTTTAAAAAAGATTCAAGAAATGAGCTAGCAGGGACATCACCAAGAGAGCTGGGCTGGACAGAAGAAATAAAACCACAAGCTTTCCCAAAGGGCAGTAAGTACAAGAATCCCCCCTCTGCAGGGAGACTGCTGATGGCAAGCCTGGGGCCTGGCTTAGCACTGCCCAGTTTTGCTTGCTCCTCAGGCAGCAGCAGCTGGGATGTGGGATGAGAGGCATCCCATAGAGAAAATGTGCCTGGCAGGCCCCCATGCCTGGGAGAAGACTCCACAGTTAACAGGATTAGAGGAGAAAGACAGAGCCCTGCCACTGGTGAGAGGTGTCAGCCTGGAAGGGAACAGCTGCTGCTGATGCCCTCAGCCCAGCTGCAGCAGGATTTATAGAACCTCTGTAACCCTAATCCTCCCTGGCAGGGAAGGGATCCTGGCACTGCTCTGTCAGGGGGGTGTCCCCTTCCTTTGAGGAGACTCTGAACCCCACAGGGCACTGTCACCATCCCCCAAAGCTTGCCAGAGGGCTCCCAAGGGGAACAGCCTGCTGAAAGGACACATGGTTAAGGCATTCTCAGCATCCAGAGGGTCAGAGCCTGCCCAGGAGTGGCCTCAGCACCCTAAGCTCGAGGGGTGCAGCCTCACTGGCCTCAGATGGTAACCCCACCACTCCTCCCTCCTGTACATGGCTTTTTGCCTCACTCAGCTGCTGCCTGACCTGAGGGATGAGCAGCAAGCCTGGCTCAGCGACACATCCCTGTGCCACAGCCTTCCCACGAGCCTGCAGATAAAGCCTGCCAGATTTTTGGCTTGCACACCAGCTGGAATGCTTGGGAAACCACCTCAGTTTCTGCCAGAGCAGGGCAGTGGTATCAGAGCTGGGCAGCTGCGGGCTCAACAATTCCCAGGGGTGCAGAGCAAATGATGATGGATGGATGGATGGATGGATGGATGGATGGATGGATGGATGGATGGATGGATGGATCCCCAAACCCCTGCCCCAGGGTGGTGTTTTGGTGACAAGTGTCCAGTGGTGGGGCAGCTGGCTTTTTCTGCTACACACCAGCTTGAGCAAACCTTGCTGCTCTCCCTTCCTTCCCACCCCATCACAGGAGGAAAGACAATGAAATTAAAATCTCCCCTGGCCCCCAGCAATCCCCTCTGAACGTGTGGTGCCCAGCAGCACCAGGTTTGCCAAGGCTGTGCCTCCCTGCCCTCCCTCAGCCCACAGAAAGGGTATTGGCCCCACAGCTGCTTTGCAGGCCAGCCCCAAGGACCCAGCAGGGCATTCCCAGGGTCCCTCCTTACCAGAGCCAGCTCCTTGCTCTGCTTCTGTGTTTCAGTCTTTGCTGCCTCCAGCTGCTCCTGGGACTCTGACAAGAGCAGCCTCAACTGCCAAAGAAAGGAAAATAAAACCCAACTCCTTTTATGCACTTGGTTTAGGAACTCTTTGGCCCAAGGAAGCTTTTTTATGATGCAACATCTTCCCAAAGAGGTCTTGGTGTCATCACATGCTGATGTGCCTGCTCAAGCAAATACAGCCATGGGACAGGTCTGTCTCACCTGAGCCACAGAAACCACACAGCACCTCCACAGAGATCTGTCCTGTGTCCCTGACCCATCCCCTTGCCCATGATTCTTGGCTTTAGAGTCTACAACCTAGACTGGAGCAACCATCTCCATCTGTTTTCCTCTTTCTCTGCAAAGCTGCAGATCCCTGGGGCACTTCCAGATGCCCAGGGCACTCCTGAAATCATGCATGGGTGGGGAGTCAGGGTTAGAAAAAGCTGAAGAAGGCAGCAACCTCCACACTTACAGCTTCAACTTCTTTTGTGTAGTTCTGGCGCTCGGAGCTGGCTGTCTCCAAGTGATTTTCCAGTTGTGTTTCCAGAAGAGAGGTGTATTCCTTTAGCTGCATGGAAAGACAGGAAAGCAGGAGGAGGGTGATTGTGTGAGCTCCAACACATCCCAAACATGCTGTGGCTAAAGGCAAGTCAGGAGATGGGGCCTGACTCAACCCATGCAGAGACCTCCCCTCCCCAAAAACCCTCACCTGATCTGTGCTCTGCAGATCTGCTTTCAACTTCTCCACCACACCTTCCAGGGATTTCAGCTGCAGGTGTGACTGAAACAGAAAGGATCAGAGAAGGACACTGAGCACCTCTGCTCAATCAAAAGCTGGCTGCTGTTTGATTCCCACCCTTCCCACTTCATCCTGGACCCATCCAAGGGGAGCTCCATGGAAGAGCTTTCCTTCCCAGGGAGGACAAGTTTAACACACACAGGCCATAAATGGTGGAGCAGGGCAGCAACTGTTGCCTGCAGCATTTCAGGTGGCTGCAGTCAGGTTTCAACACCCGAGAAACCATCATGAGACCCAGCACAAGCTTCCTGCTGAAAGCACTTTTTGGTCTGGAAGCAGCAATTTTCCAATGAGGTGGCATGGGCTTCGTTATTAAGAGAGGCCAAGCTGCCAGAAAAAGCACTTAAACCCAGGCTGGTTTTTGAAGAGGACTCCGCAGAAATGTTTGGAAAGGAGGAATTCCCCTCCTCTCCACAGAGAGGCAGGATTGCTCTGGGAGCTGCCCTAGCACCAGCCGTTCTTCCCATCAGGAACAGCAGCAGCAGCCACGTCACCCTGTGCAATCCCCCAGCAGCCTCAGCAGTGCTGGCCCTGCAGGAGCCAGCAGTGGGCTGAGAAATCAAACATCTCTTGTACAACAACTTCCCCCAGCTCCCTGCAGCCCAGCTAACTCCAAAACCCCACGTGATGCATGGGGACCAGCCAGACCATGGAAAACAGCTCAGTCTCAGTTCTGCATTCAGGAGGGAAGGTTCTGCATGAGGTGGGATTTTTGTCAGCTGGCTTGGTGACAGGAGGGGTAGATTTCGGGAGAAAAGAAAGTTCCTGTGTCTCAGTGTTCACAGCTGACACTGAGGGCCACCAACCAATTTATAGCCCCTTCTCCTGGAAGTCCAGCTCCAGGAGCACCAAACCCAGCTGTGTCAGCAGCACACACCTTTTGGAGCTCCTCTTCAGAGGCTGTAAGCTTTGCCTTCCACACCTGCTCCTCCTCCTCCACGCTCTTCTGCAGGTTTCGCAGCATCCCCTCCTGTGGGCAGAGCCTCAGCTGGGCCCAAAGCTCCTGCAGCCCCAGCAGGCTGGGCAGGGTAAGGGATGGAAGCCTCCAAAGCCTCTCCAAGGATTTGGGCCAAACAACAGGGGACAGAATTGGAATCAGGTGGGGCTGGGGGCTCCTAATCCCTATTCTGGCACAACCAGCTCATCAGAGCCCTTGCTGTGTCTCATTCCATCACCACTAGCAAGGCTTCCAACACAATCAGGCTGAAGAAGAGCTCTAGAAATTCACCTTTATCCTGTTCCTCTGTCTAAATGACAAATACTGCACCCCATAGCAGTTCCCCACCACACCAAGGGATGCCCACCCTGAGCTCATGGGCAGCCTGGGCTGACAGGAGACCTCTGCAGAGGGGAAGCCAACACAGTGCAAAGGGCAGGAACTCACAGTCTCTGCGAGGATCGTTCTGTACTGCTCACACTCTGCCTGTAAAGTGCTCTGCGCTTCCTCTGCCTCTTTTAGTTTAAGAGCTGAATCCTAAAAGGAGAGGGAAAGGAAGGAGAGAGAGGTAAAAAGAAGAAACATGTGACCCTCCAGCATACCCTCACCCCTCCACTTTCCAGCCATCACTTACTGGAGGCTCTGTTGTGATCATCTGCTGCTTTAGCACACCCACAGTCTTCTCCTTAAACTCCTGTAGCCACGTGTCATAGTCCTGAGTTCGGAAAAAAGAGAACAAGAAAGAAGGAGGATGCTTGGACCTCTCTCCTTGCCATGAGGAGAGGCTCTGGGGAGGGCTGGGGAAGGCTGTCCCACCTGCTGTGAGGACACAGTGACTCCTGGGAGGGCGGAGAGCAGCGTCTGCTTGGTTCGCGTCTGGAGCGCGTCCAGCTGTTGGGCCAGCTCTTCCTGAAACAGGGACAAACTGCAATGGATGGAGCTCCTGGGCACCTGCTGGCCAGGCTGACAACACTGCTCCTGCTTTTCTGTGCCTACAGGGCTGGGGAACCAGCCAACACAGAAAACTGCTGGTGCTGGGAACCACTAAAGCATCACTTATGTCCCTGGTTCTTCAACCATGACCAGGACCAGGGATGCACAAGAAAAATTTTGGAGAAACCTGCAGAAGAGTTGGGCCAGCTCTCTTCCTAAGGAGGCCTAAGCTGAATGCTTCCCTTCCAACACCAGGGCAATGCCAGGCTCACCTTTGCTTTGGTAGCAGCAAGCAGTTTTTCCTCACATGCCTTCTCCACTGTGGTCAGCGCTTCCATTGCCTTCCAGTTCTTTTCCCGAAGATCCTGTGGACACACCACACACAGAGAGGGCAATGAGCCACACAAAGCTGCTTGCTGGCACTGCAGGGGATTTATTTCAAAGCCACTGCTGAGGGAACTGGGTTTGGTCAGGAGTCTGTCCATAAGCATTCCTTTCCAGTCTTTCCAGTGGCTCCACACAGCCCATTGCTCCAGAAGCAAGCTCAGGATGCCTGCAGGGGACACAGGCCAAGTGCAGGGATGCAAAGTGGCCTCCACACAAGTGACACCCCCTTGCAGTAGAGGGATAAGGAGCAGAGGAGCAGGAAGGTGTGAAGGAGCCTCCTCATAGATTGCCTTGGCCTGCCAGGCTAGGATCTCCCTGGCTTACCAGGTCCTAAACCTTCCAAGAGAACAAGGGACAGACATGTCACCTCAGGCAGCCCACCAGGGGCATTCCTGCTCTCTGGCAGATGAGGCAATGCCTCCAGGGCTCCAAGGGGCTGGAAGAGCCTCTGGCCACACCCCTGGAGCCATCAGAAGGTGACTAGGATGGGCTGGCTGTCTGTCACTCAGGATGGGCTGTCTGTCTGTCACTCACTCACAATGGGCTGTCTGTCACTCACTCACGTTGTTTTTCACCTTCTGTTGCTCCACTGCCTCCCGAAGCTGTGTGGCTTCTCTTTCCAAGGCTGAGAGCTGGTTTGTCTTCTCCTGGAGTCTGGAAGGGCAGGATGCAGGAGTGAGCCTGAGCAGTCACCCCCCTCATGGGCAGCAAGCTCCCAAGATGGAGACACAGCCCTTCCTATCCTGGTCTGCTCTGGCATCTACACACAGCAGGAGGAAGAGGGAGCAGGACTAAAAACCACAGCCAGGGCAATACTGGAGTGGGATCTGGTTTCCTAGCCCCTTACCAGCAATAAAATGCAATCACTTAATTGGCTGGCTGTACACACACAAAAAGAGGAAGAAGCAACCTGATGCAAAGACCAGGAATTCTGGCCTGCACCACTGGGGCTGCTCCTATCTGTGGCTCATTAGGCTGAGAGAGCCCACAGCTCTGCATTTTGAAACTATCATCCCACTGTCTTGAGAAACCCTAAATCAGGGCTGCCAACCAGACAGCAGAAAGCTGCAGGTTCCCTCCACACCCTCAGATCCCCCATGTGCCCTGAAGGGACCCTCAGTGAGAGCAAACCAAGGTTCAGGTTCTTGAGAAGAACTACACACATCTCCTGGGGTCTCAGGACAACTCAAGAGCTGCCTTCTTTAGAGGGATGCTGGATGCTTGCTGGCAATGGGGGCATCTGAGAAATCTTCCCCCCATGCAGAGCCTGGGCCTTCTTGGAGGTGCCCTGCACATGGACAAGGAACAACAGGCAGGACTCAGAACATGGGAAACTCCAGTTAAATGCCAGGAAACCTTTCTGTACTGGGGGGTGGGGGAAGAGGTGATCAAACACTGGAACAGGAACCCAGAGTGGTGGTGAATCTCCATCCCTGGAGATACCTGGGAACACCTTTAAAGAACTTCCTCTGGTTGGCCCAACCTTGAGCAGGGACCTGCACCAGACATCCCACACCCAGCACCAACACCAGCAGAACCTCCTGTTCTGCAGGAGTGGTCAGGCTCCATGTGCCTGTCAGTATCTCAGTCCTGCTTCAGAATGGACTGGCTGTTACATGGGGCCAGCACCACAGCCAATTAATATTTTAATTGAAAATAAAGCCCCAAGCCTGCCTGGAAGGCAGGAAGCCCTCAGCCACAGGCTCAGTGCTCAAGGAAGCCTGGGACACATGGACAGCAAGCTGAAGGTGCCACTGCAAGGTGTGCACCTGGACCCACCTGGACTGCAGCTGCTTCATTTCTGCTTCATTGGCTGCCTGGAAGAGAGAAAGCACTTTGATGGCCTGTCCCAGGCATGTGACACAGGTCAGCCCTTTCTGTGGCATCCCAGAGCAAAGACAGCTCAGGGATTGTGTAAGCAGTGTCACCCACTCCCCTCCTCCCCCCCCAATTAAACAAACACACAACCTGCAGGTCTCTGTCTTTTTCTGCCTCCCGCATCTGGCCTGCCTCCAGCAGAGCTTCAATGGACTTGATCCTCTCCAGAAGCTTTGCATTCTCTGAGCTGGCATCCTGCAGCTTCCCTTTCACACTGTCCAACTCCAGCAGCTTACTTTTAACCTCTGCCTCGGAGCTCAGCAGCTTGGCCTGCAGATCTATTGGAGGGAAGGGTGACAAACACAGTAGGGCAAACAAACGTGGACACTCCCTACCCTGCTCTGCCCATGCAGGATCTTAGCCAAAGAAGCCTTCCTTGGCCAAGGATGCTCTGAGGAGGCACAGAAAGGGCAGGCAGGGATGCAGGCCAGCACAGGAGAGGGACAGAACCATGGACCAGACCATGTCACACTCACACCAACACCAGGCAGCCCAACTCATCCCTGGATCTATCTGTCCTGCCCCAAGTGGTTCCTCCAAGCTCTCAAAGTCTCCAGTCTGCCCCATGTGGATCCCAGTTCCTCACCAGCAATGCTCTGCTGCTGCCCTTTGGTCTTTTCTGCATCTGCCAAGAGGCTCTTGTAGCTGCTCTGGGTTTTGCGGAGCTCGTCGCTGACCTCATCCAGCCTCTTCTGCAGCATCACCTCTGCCTCCCGTTGGTAAGCCTGCAGGGCAGGAAAACAAGGTTTCCTGGAGCCTGACAGACACCCCAGCCAGTTTGAAGCAAAGCTCCATGTGTCACAATCTTATTTTTAAGCTGTGTTTTGGGGGATTAAAGTCGTCCTCCCGCCACGCTCCCCCTGCGCACGGAGCGCCCCGTGTTGCGCTCACATTTTATCCTGTGCCAGCGCTCACACTGGGAAGCAGACAATACCCAAATGTCTCAGTCCTGGGCCAATTCCATGGCCAACCTCCCCTCTGGAGAGCTCTCAAAAAGCTCCCAGGGCCCCGGTTCAAACCGCCCCAGCCCAGCAGGGAGAGGTGCTGGCACGGGGCTTTGCAGAGCACAGACACCCAACCACGCTTCCACAGGAGGAGGAACTGGCTGTGCAATTTCAGCCAGGCAATACTTTTATTTTCCATCATGGAAAGCAGCAAGGAAGAGGCTGGCAAGGGCAGGCATTTTGAGGGGGAAGGCAAAGGGGAAAAGGATGAGTTGCAGCTTTACAGGTAAAAGTGGCACTCTTGCAGAGGGAGAAAAATTGCTTTGCACAGAGGGGACAGGAAAAGATAAACCAGCAGGCCTGTCTCTGTCCAAGGGATGCTTTCAGCACCACCAGGAAAACAGCTGCTCTGGTTTTTAAGGATTTGACTCAATATCCTCAGCTCAGAGCTCCAGATGTTACTGTGGAACACATCCTCCCCAGCACCTTAAGCACATCCCTGACTTTAGAGTCAGCTAGTGTGATTTATTAATTAGCATTAAGGTGTGCAGTGAGCTGACAGCCCTGGAGTTCTCCCAAAAGCATGTCTGGGAGCTCCTGCTTTGAGCAGAGAGGCAGCCACTGCCTTCACACCAGCTGTGAGCTCACATCACCCTCCTTGCTCCTCACCTGCCAAAGCAGCAGAAGCCAAATGCAGCCCACCAAAATGAGAGCCACATCCTCAGCAAAATATTAAGAGCAAGGATATGGAAGGCCCCTAGCTCAGGAACTCCTGCATAAAACTATTTTGGCATGTGCAGATAAAGGTCTCTTCCACCTCTCTTGCACCTTCTGGAAGAGGCCAGAGCAATTCAGAGACATCCCTCACCCTGTGCTCCCAGCACACAGTTTAGCAACATCCCAGCAGGATCAGCATCCCAAGAAGATGCTCTACCCTGTGTGAGTACAGCCTGCCTGCCAGCAACACATCTCTGTGTGCTCACAGGCTCTGCTTGGGAGGTGTCCTTTCAACACCCCTAAAACCCCCAAACCCAGCCACTCCCTGCTGACCAAAAAAGCCACAAGCTTCATCTCCTCAACCAGGGAGAGAGAGATGGTTTTAAGCCACAAGCTTAAAACCATCTGAGTTTGAGAAAGAGAGCACCTGCAGAAGAATGGCCTCAAGCAGGGCATGCTGCTCCCTGGGCTCTGACAGTGATGCTACACAAGGGGCACAGGGAATGTCACAAGCTAATGGGGTGGAGAGCAATCAGGAAATCTGCCAGGCAGCTTCCTTCCCAACCAGGGACACTTCTGTCCCTCCTAGCCCTTCCCATGGCCAAGTGCATGGATCCATTCAGCCACCCAGCCCTGCAAGGGGACAGGGTGTGCCAGTGCCTGCCTGACCTGCAGCTGCTCGATTCGCTTCTCCGAGGCCGTTGCTTTGATCTCCCAGCTCTTCCTCTGCTGCTCCTCTTGCTGCAGCACCTCTGACTTCTCAGACAGCTCTTTCATCAGCTTGCTGCACTCCTGCCTCAACTTGGCCAGCTCAGCATTCTGCCTGCAGCAACAGAAGCAGGGTTATTTCAGCCCACAGGCCAGCCAAGCCTCCCTGGTGTTGGTCGGGGGAAACACATCCTCCTGTGGGCCTGATACAGGACTTGAAATGGTGAAAACTTTGCCTGTTTCTAGGACACTCCTGGTCCTTCAGGGAGGGGGTGGAAAGAGCCAACAAATCACTTTTTAAAAGCCCTGTTTCAGTCACAGGAGACATTCCTTTCTTATGAAGTAAAGGACACATGGATCTGTGTTCCCAGACACAAGAGGAAGCACTACAGCTGGAGTCCCCTCTGTAATTATTTGCCTGCTGTTAATCACCAGTCATTTCAGACTGCCTATAAAAAGGAGTGTGAAATTCTTCTACCTAGCTCCTATTTGTTCTGTTCTCTGTAGCATCACTCCCATCAATGAGCTGGCTGCATTTTTTCTCAAGTTTGAGAGTATGAGTCCCCTATGGGGGAAAAACACCACAGTGCCTTCTGATGCCCTCTCTCCTCTCCACTGCCTGTTGGATCTGGCATCAGCACAGGTGACCCCAAAGGAGAGAGGTATGCCCTGCCCTTTCACTTGGGAAGAACACCTTTGTTTCTCCTGGTGCACCCCCAAAAGCCATTTGGCAAAGCTGTTCCTCCCTCATTCCCTCCTCCACCTCCAGCTAGTTGGGATGTCTGTAGAAGTACCTTTGGGAAAGGGGGTGGTCAAGCCAAGGTCTGCCAGAGGGCAGCCCCAGGCTCTGCCCCTCCTCCCAGCCTTACTTGCTTTCCATCTGGCTGGTGGCCTGGTTGAGGGCATCCCTGAGGATGGAGTTCTCCTGCTGCAGGCGAGCCAGCTGCGTGTTGGGGCCGTTCTCCAGCTGCTCCTGCAGGGTCCGGATCTAGAGGAGCCCAACAGGGGTTAATGCCACCAGCAGCCCTTCTGCTGCCCCTGTCAAAGCCCAGGAGATGAGCAGGAGGGACTGGCAATGCAGGGGAGTGAGTGCTGATGGTGAGAGCCCTCAGGGGTGTGACATCCTATGAAGATGCTCCAACATGCCTCTCCTCCAAAGAGGTTTGGAGGGGGCTTAAAGAGATTGAGGGGGTATTTAGGGAGTGTGGGAGTACTAAGTGGCTATTAGAGGGGTGTGGGGGTACCTGAAGGGGTTTGGGAAGGGATCTGGGGGAGTTTAAGGGGTGTTTAGTGGGGCCTTAAAGGGGTTTTGAGGGGAAATTCAGCACCACAGCTCAGGAGCACTGCAGGCTCTTGCCCCTTCACACGGCTCAGCCTCCTCCAGAATGTCACCCAGGTGCCACCAGCAGCCACCTGGCAGAGGAAGAGGCAGGTGCAGGGCTCACTCTGGGGCTCACCTTGCCCTGGAGCTGCTGAGTCTCGCTGACATGGTCCTGGTAGCTGGCCTGCATCCGTGCCTGCACGGCCACGATCTCCCGCTCGCGGTTCAGCAGCTGCTCCTTCAGCCTGCCCTCCACGGCCCCCGCCTTGGCCCGCTCGGCTGCCAGCTCCTTCCAGAAAGGAGGCCCCCAGTTAGTCCTCAGAGCACAGGGCTCCCCATTTGAAGAGGATGTGGCCTCCTAGCTCAGCAGACTACAAAGTTTAGCCCTCTTGTCGCTGCCCCCACGCCCAGGCACATGTAGCACTTACATTTCCTCCTGCATTTTGTTTTGGGCTCTGTGGCCACTGGATGCCACTGTTGTTCCATGTTGGGCCAGCTAAGAGAAAGGAGTAAGACAGCCTGGAATTTTATTTTCCTCCCCCAGGATAAATAACATCACACAACGTTTGGGGCAAAGAAGAAAAATTAAGCAGATGGACTTGACAGCCACAAGTTCAGCGTGGCAGGGATCTGTTCTGCCTTCAACACCCAAAAAGAGCTGGGGGCAGGGGGCTGAGTCAGAGAAGGGCACTGTAAATAGGATCAGGTTCCTTACAAAGGTACCATCTCAGCTCAGGGGAGCTGAAATGAGGGAGGATTTGCTTTTCTCCCTGAAGGAGAAGCTGCAATCTCTCACAGAAAGGGTTTTCCCTGCTTTTCCCATGGCTGCCCACGGGCACTACCCTGCGGTTCTTTGGGCTGGCACCTCCCCAGACTGGAGCAGCCCCAACAGAGGAGGGCAGGGGGAGGATCTCCTCTGCTTTTTGGGAAGAAAACAGCCAACAGGTGAAGGGTGCAAAGAGCCCCATCAGGGGGCTGAGGTGGGAGCAGAGGCACATGGAGAGCCACCATGAGCAGAGGCCACAGCGGGGATGGCAGGAGGGGCACGCAGGGCTTACCTTGCTCAGCTCCCGCAGTTTGTTCCTGGCAGCAGCTGCATCCTCCTGCTCAGCAGAGAGCTGCTTCTCCTTCTCCTCCAGCTGCCGTTTCAGGACAGCCACAGGGTCGCCCTTCTGCGTGGCCTGCCAGCATGGGGTGCACATCAGTGGGGACCAATGCCTCCAGAGCCATCCCCTCCACCCCACACACACAGGGGACATCCTGCCCTCTGCTCCAGGGGAAAGCTCAGTTCCCTTCTCCCAGACAGCCTCAGCCTGCCTGAAAATGGGGTGCTTCCCCTCCCCTGCACCTCCTGAGGTTCAGCAGAGCCCTACCGTGTGCCAGGTGTCCTGGATGATCCCTGCTTTCTCCGTCAGGATCTCGATGAGCTGCTGGGCCTCCCCCTCGCTGAACACCATGCTGCTGACTGTGGACACCAGAGTCTTGTAGGGCAGGTACAGGGCCCCATCCGAATCTGTGGGTGCTGGGGAGGAGAGAGGAGGGATTGGGACTTCTGGGGACAACAGCAGAAATATTCTATCATCTCAGCAGGCTTCAAGCCCACAGCTACCATCTCAAACCATCCTCCAAACAGATTTCCAGTGTTACATTTGGTACCTCTGAGTGAGAACAGTGAGAAAAGTGCTGGAGATGACACCACACATGTGCTCCTTGAGTCAGCTGTCACCTCTGGCTCAACAGCTGGTCCCAGCATCTGCCATAACCCTCTACCAAACTGAGAGACTCTCAACAGGAGCTGGGAGTGCTTTGCCAGTGCCAGGGGGCTCAGATACATTGATCATCAGAAGCTGGACCACCAGAATACAATTTTGGTGAATTTTGTCACTCCATGCATCCTTCACACTGGTGCCAGTGACAGCAAGGTCATGTCCCACTTTTCACCAGTTTGTTCCAGCTCTTTGCTAAGGGAGCAACATGACTCCAACCCTTCCCCTGCTAACCTGGGAAAGCCAGGGAGCATCAGGGACCACGATGCTGTTGTAGGACCTCAGTGCACAATACACAGAGGCTGTGGTTTAGGGGGTCCTGCACGTATCTGTGGCCCTGTGGGCTCTTTTTCCTAGAAAACCACAAGAAGGAAAAGCAGTTTGGAGTCCAGCAGTTCCAGAGCCCCTGAAGTCATTAACACCAGAGTCTCCTGAATACAAAGCTTGGGATGTTCCAAGCAGTAAGGTTCAAAGAAGGAGGAGGAGGAGGAGGTGCTGAAGGTGTTGGAGCAGAGATTTTCCTCTAGAGAATGGATCCCATGCTGGACAAGGTTCCTCCCAAAGGACCATGGAAGGCCCCACACTGGAGCAGGGCAAAGATGTGAGAATAAAAGAGCTTGCAGAGGGTGGCTGTAACAAACTGACCACACTCCCCATCCTCCTGCACCACTCATGGATGGGAGGTAGAGGAGTCAGGAGGGAAGGAGTGAAGTTGAGCCTGGCAATAAGCACAGGAGGTAGTGGGGAAGGCATTGTTTTCCCTTCTAAAAAAAAAAAAAAAATCTCTGTTTCTCATCTATTTTAATGAGGAATAAATTAGTTTTCCCCAAGTTGAGTCTGTCTGGCCAGTGACAGTGACTGCTAAGTGATCTCTGGTAGATCCATCTGGAACAGCAGTGCCAAGTCCTGGCAGCAGCCGTGTCTGTGTCCCCAGCCACAGCCACTTCCCAGCAGCACCAACCCCTTGTGCCACCAGGGCTGAGGCTTGGCTCACACTTTACTCATGCTGGCAAGGGCAGGGCTGCAGGACAGCACATGGCATCTCCTGGCTCAGCCCTGGGGCTTGCAGGGACACACCAAGCGGAATTCCGCCCCTCTCCAGGTGGAGTGGCAGGAGAAAAACACCCCAAGCCACTCCTGTCAGGTTTGCCAGCTGTTTCAGGGCTGAGGATGAGTCCTTGAGCACTCTGAACACCCATTTTTATCTGCCACAGAATCATTTGTTTCTTTGCATTTGATGAGGAGAGATCACAGCTGCTGGAAACACCTTGGTCAAACCGCAGTTGGCTTCATGGCACAAATCCTACCAAGAGCTTTTCTTGGCAAAATCCCACAGGAGCAGCCAAGACATCACTCTTCACTTTCAGGACATGCAGGACTGGCACTTCATACCCAAGAGAATCTCAGTTTGGAGCACCCCAAAAACCTCCCAACTTAACAAATGCTAAAAGGTCATCTCCCAGCCACACTCCCTCAGCTGTTACAGCTTGGATTGAGGGATTTAGGGCTTGGATTTGTGTGTTTTTCACATGTGTGCACACAACAAAGCAGTCACCTCCAGTTCCCCCAAGCCCACCACCCCTGCAGCACCCTCCAGGAGCAGCTTCTCCAGTCATTCCAAACCCCATCACCATGTGGAGATGGTCTTTAGTAAAATCCTTCCCTTGGAAGAGCAGATTCAAGGGGTTTAACCCATCTTTGAAACACAGCAGCTGCAAATGCCCTGCTGAGTAGCAGGCCCTCTTCCAAAATGTGAGTGTGGAAACTGCCAGGCTGCACAGCAGGTTTGGATGTGCTGCAGAAGGGCATCAAGAAGAGATGTCTTAGTTTGGTGGGTTGTTCGTTTTTTTGTTTTGTTTTTTTTTTTTTTTTGTAAAAAAAGAAATCTATGCACATCACATGACATCTTTGAGAACGCCTGAGAGATTTCTGCCATGTGTCCACATGGGAACCCTTCCACACGTCTGAAAGCACTCACGTTTTTAGTGCCTGTAATTATCACTTAAACAAAAATAAATCCCAAACTGTTCCCACTGGTACAATGAGAGGCCAGAATCCAGCAACAGAGCTGATTTTCCCCTCCCTACACCTTTTTTATACTCTGCAGAGTTCAGGACCACCTGATCTTTTCCATCTCTTGAGTCAATCAAGTAAGGCACAACTTATGATGGGTAAGTTTTCCCTTCCCTGTGACAGACCCAAAGTCTCTTCCCTCTAATTACTCTACAATCAATCCCTGCAGTATGAAACTCCATAAATCCTCTCTGCTTGAGGAATCCTTCTTCACCTCCACCAAAAGAGGAGGAAATGCTAGCAGTGACCAAGTGTGGCAGAGCTCCTCTGTGCTTTAACAGTCAGGGCTCTATGGGGAAAGCACCTCACCCTGGCTTTCCACCCAGATGTGCAGCACCCTGGCACTGTCCCTCTCCCAGGACAGGGACATGCCCCTCTCATTCACTCCCACAACACAAATCCCAGAGGAACCTGTAACTCTCCAACACCCCTGTGCTGGACCAGAGGGATACAGGCAGAGGAATTTGGCCTCACCTGGCTCGCTCTTCTTCTTGGATGCAGCCTTCTTCTTGGCAGGTGCATCGTGCTTCTGGTCCTCCGGGGCTGGGAGAGCCTCGCTCTTCTTGACAGTGACAGAGCTGATGACAGGAGCACTCTGCTGGGTGCCAACTGGGGGCACTGCCACCACAGGCACCTCCTTGGGGGCCACCTCCCGCACGGGAGAACTTTTGGGGACGCTGACAGAGGGTGGAGCGAGCACCGGGCTAGGAGCAGGCTCCACCTTTGCCACCTTCTTCTCCTTCTTCCTCTTCTCCTTAGGTGATGGGACGGGTTTGTCCTTTTCCTGGGGCACAACTGCCACTGCTGCAATGGGAGTCTCAGCTGTCACAGGCTCAGGCACCACAGCAGGCTCAGGAAGCACCTCCTTGGGAGGGTCTGTCACTTCCTGAGTGAGCTGCTGCTCTGGGATCTTCCCATTCGGTTTCTCTTCCTTTTTCTTCGCTTTTCCCTTTTTCTCAACCAGTTTCTCTTTCTTCTTTTTCTCTAATTTCTGCTGCTGGCTCTTCTCCAGCTCCTTGCGTTGCTTGGCCAAGGCCTCCTCGTAAGATGTCTCCTTCATGGAGAAGGTGGACACCAGGAAGATGCCAATGGCTGAGATCACCATGAAGCCTCCAAAGACCACAACACCCAGCGTCTGAGGGTCGTACACGTCCATCCTGCCTCGCTCCTCTGTGCCTGCAAGACACCAGGACAGCAGTTAGGGGCAGCAGGGGAAGGAAGAAATGCAATGGCTTTTCTGAAGAGGATCCTCACACCGGCATCTGTGCCTTCCACTGGGAAGAGGAACACTCCAGGTTCACGCAGCTCATCCTGACCTGCCTGCACACCCCTGAGTTTGTGCTCCTCTGCTACACTGCCTGTGCACAGGAGTCCAGTTGCACCTCAGTGACTAAATTTCCTCTCTAGAAGAACCAGAGAGAAGGAAATAAAAGCAGGGATGCAATCAGAGACAGCCAAGAGCCTCATTCTATGTCCAGTGGTGTGGTTTTGTACGACCCTAAGCCATACCTGCAGCAGTAAGAGAGCCCACTCTCAGACTGCTGAGAGCAGGCTGGCCAAAATCTGGGCTTTCCCTGGAGCAACTGGCTTTTTCACTGCCCCCAGATGCATATCCAGGTGTTATCTTTGGGATAAAATATCCCTCTGGGAGGAGAAAGCTTTGCAGCAGCCCTTCCCTTTCCCTGCTGAGCAGCAGCAGAGCCCACACTGCCTGCTCTGAGCTCTGGCTAGCAGGGTTCAGCCACACCTGGGGAAAGATGCTGCTATCTCCACTCCTCTTAATGGCTACTTGAACCTGTCCTGGTTTCAAATCCAATTTTTGCTGGCCCATCCACGTGTTTCATCCACCAGGGCATCACTTCCACGTGGCTCTGAGGTGGCTCCCAGTCCCTCAGATGCTGCTGTCAGGCAGGTAATGTGGGAAGGGACATTTTCCAGGAGTTGCCATGGCTGTGGCTCCTCATCACTGTTACTCAAAACAGAACAAGCAAAATGCAGGAAGTCCTCAGCCACCAGGAGCTCTCACCCCCACGATTAACTGGTGACATTATCAAATTTCCTCTTTAAGGGGGTGTGGGCCGAGGAGGGAGGGAGAAAGGGAGGGAGGGAGGGATGGAAGGGGAGGAGGCAAAAATAAGACTAAAACTAAGGAGATCAGCATCTCTTCAAACCTCAGTGCTTGCAGGGAGACACCTCAGAGGCCCTCGAGGTGGGGACAGTGAAGTGACATCTCCAGCACCCAAGCAGGGGGTGCAGGGCTGGGAGGAGCTGAAATCTCCCACTGGAGACACCCAATCTGCCTGGGAAAGGATGTTCTAAGCAGCTCTCCCTGCCCACCTCTCTGAGGTAAAGCAGCAGAGAGAGAAGCTGGCAGGCAGGAGGGCTCTCCATGCCAGCTGGAACCAGCCAGCCCTGTCAGGGCCAATTTTCTACCCCAGGGCACTGCTGGAGATCCCAGCTGATACTGCAGGCATCCCTCATTACTATTTTACATCCACCCTGGCCACTTGGCACTTGAATGGCCTCAGCCCACTCTATCCCAGCACATCTGGTGCCAAGCCATTGCCTCCTGACTGGGGAGCACTGCTTTGGGATGTCCCAAGCAGGAGAGACAGGTAATTCCTAACCACAGTGTGAAAAGGACTGGAATTTCTTTCCCTGACAGTAAATAGAAAGCAGGGCTGGAGAACACAAACCCCCAAACTTGTGCTGGGTTTAGGGCTATGCCAAAGCACCCAGGAGCTGTTTTAGGGCCAGAACAAGGTAACCTACATTCCTCACCCAGCAACCCCAATATATTTGTAAAAATAAGCCCTTCCTGACCTCACAGCACCACAGTTTCAAATCTAGATAAAAATGCACCTTGGGGCAAGGGCATCCCCAAGTGCTGACAAACGCACTCCAACCCCACCAGCTGGTACTGCCACCCTCCAAAGCAGCTTGATGGAGCCCACAGGGGATGGGAATGGGGCAAGGAATCCTAATCTCCACGAGGAAGGATGGATGAGAGGACAGTGGTGGTGAGGTGGGTGAGATGGCAGGGCTGGATGTGACATCATGGCACCAGAGCCGTGTGCCTGCCCATCCTCACCCCACAGGACTGTCCCCAAAGCCCTTTCAGAGCCCCATACCCTCTGTCCCTGGCAGAGAGCCTCACCCAGCTCCATGGGCTGCAGTAAAAGCTGCCTGTACCTTGCCTCCTGCTTTAAAGCCAGGCTGAGATAAGGATGTAAATGAGCACTAAAGTCCTTCCCATCGAAACAAAAGCACCTCAGCAACCCCCTCCAGACCAAAAGCAATACAGGAACAAAGCAGCTGAGAGCACTGAGGAGCTGTGGACCTGCACAAGAGCCCTGGCAGCTGCCAGAACTCCTGAGACCAGCCGAGATGCTCAGAGAGGCCATCCAAGCTCGAGAAGGGGAACCCCACGCTGCTCCTGAGGATAGATGTGCCAGCAGAAGATCCACAGGAAGGAGAGAGAGCAGCCAGCCAGGAAATTATCCCTGCCAGCACCTGGTGCTGTCCCAGCACTCGTGCCCCGAGGGAGGAGCAAGTTCCACCTGTAGGGTTCCTCCTGTGGCTGGGACTTGGCACAACCAGCTCAGCAATTCATTCAGGGAAGAGCCCATCCCTTGTTCAGGAAAGAGTCCATCTCTCCAAAGGGGCACAGAGAGGCTTAAAGCAAGCCAGGCTGGCCTTGGCATTTGGGGGATAAGGAAAAGTCTTCCTGCAAGAACTTCCTGGTGCAGAGATGCCAGAAGCGTTTGTGCCACGGTGACAGCAGCCAGGAGAGAAGCTCTGCTTTGACATTTCCTCACCTTGCCACCTTTGCCCTTACAAGTGCTGGAAGTTTGCTCCTGGATTTGCAGAGCAAGACACCATCCCCCTTGCAAGCACGTGCTTTCCCCTCCGTGCTTCCCACCTGGACAAAGTCTTAGCCAGGACACGGCAAAATGGGGCACCAAAGGCAGTCTCACATGTTCAGCCTGACAGCCATGCTTTGGAGAGGCTCAAAGACTTGAGGATCCTCCCTCCTGCTGCTTCTGGTGTTCCATGGGGCATCACTCCTACAATGGCATTTTTCCACCTGCCTGAGAGAGGGCTGTGTGCCCAAGAAGTGAGTGGACACCAGCAGTCATCGGAGTCCATGCTCAAAAAATCAAGTTCACGTCCAACACTGAGCACATTTACTTCCATTATGTTTCTGGACCATCCTCCACTCCTCTCCCACCCAAAACAGCAGAAATCATCTAATATCTCCATATACAAACTCCTTCCCCAAAACAGCTGGTCCAGCTGTTTTCACCACATCAGAACAGGAATAAGATGAACAACTTCACCTGGTGTTCACTTGGCCTTCTCATGCAGAAGAGCTGGCTGAAATGCTGTGCTCTGACTCTTCCACTCCTGTGGCTTTTTCCTGTTATCCATCAAGCTTCCCAAAATCCCAGATAGCAGCCCAAGGGACCTGACCTCCCTGCACATGCAGCCACCTCTGTTTGACCTGAGCCAAAGTCCAAACTCAGCCCTGCTGGTTTTTCAGCACTAAACAATTTCCAGGATGAACCAACCCACAGACATGTGACATGACAGCACCAGGGCCATGCTCAGTGTCTTGTGGTCACATTTGTCACTGACAGCTGTGTCAAAAACAGCTGCTCAGCCGAGCAGCTGGAACCGAGCCAGCTGCTCAGCCTGTCCTCCCCTCTGTGACCATACATGAAATCCATGGGAATTCAGCATCTTTATGGCGCAGCCCCTCCACCAACCCTCATTTAAATCACCCAGGCCACACAACAGGTGGGCAGCAGCAATGGAAGAGTCAGGTTGTGCAGTAACTACAGAGATCTTATTTCTTCCCACAGCCAAAGGAAAACACATGCTATCTCCTCCTGGTGTCAACAGGTGCTGCAGACAGGAAAATATGCTCTGGGCAAGTAGGACACTGACCCCTGCACCCCAAGGCTTTTACTTTGCCATGGTGTGAAGGTGGCATCTCAGTTTAGAGCAAGGCAGCAGGGGTGATGAGGGGCCACAGGGAGAACTGGGTGCCCACAGACAGGCTCTGCATAACCCACAGCAATGCCTGCCTGTGAAGCTCCTGCAGCATCCCTTCCTCTACATATCCTAGCAGCTAAAAAAAAAAGGAGGGAAAGGGCAAGGACGAGGGAACTGGGAGGCCAGATCAGCAACAGCACTGCCAGCAGATAAAAAAACAATCACCAGATACCTCTCCTGGAGGTTTTCCCTCCACCCTGTTGCAATAGAGACAAAAATTAAAAACATCCAAGAAAAGCCTGCACATCGTGAGCAGATCCTGCCCATGTTGCCTGTTTAAATACATTTTCTGAGTAAGTGACTGTGCACTTCCAGGCTCCCAGCAGCATGTGCTACTCCACACAGCAACTCCAGATCAGCCCATCATCAACAGTTATAGCTCAGCTTAATTGAACGTGTCTTAGTGCTCCATTAGCTCTGGCGGCAGCAGCCAGCTGGCTTGTGCTTGCCAGCAGCGCTGCCAGCTCCCTTCCTCAGCCCAGGAGTGAAAACACAGGCAGAAAATACATGTGTATATAGGAGAGGAGTGTAACAGCACCACAACACAGCTGCAGCTCGACTAAACCCTGCAGCGGCTATTAGAAATTCTTTCTCCCCTCCCTGGCCCGCAGAGGGATTTCACCGGCGGTCCTCATCAGCTCCTCCTTGGGGCTCACATCCCGAGTAGCCCCGACTCCGGTGCAGGGCTTCGACGGAGGTGCGAGCTGGCACAGCGGGCGCGGACACTCCTGCATCGCTCAGCCAC